TTTACTACTTCATTTTGGATCGAACGACAATGGTTTTTTTCTACTCAGGATTCTTTTGGATACAATGCAGATGGTTTTCTTTTCTTTTCAGTAAAACCATATAAGTATATAAGATACATTTATTTATAAAGTATAATCTATCTTTGATATTTTTAGAAGAGCAACATTTATATTAGGTGGAATAATTGAAGAAAAACTAAACTTTGATTCTGTTAATCATATCGAAATATACGATGCACCCATAATCAACAAGTGTGAAAATTATTTTCCAAATACTACAAAATTAAGTTTTACAGATGGTTGGACTCCAAAGGACAATTTTATAGATAGTATTTTACCACGTATTATTTCTTTAAAACAACTTAGTGAAATAGTTGTTGAAGATGTACCTATCTATTTTATGGATTTAGTTAAATTATTAAGTGTTGCAGTAAATCTCCATACACTAAAATTTGATTATATATCAATTGATGAAATAAATCCTGCAACTATTCAGCAAGATGTAATTTTTCAAATGGTATCCAAGACAAATGTTGTTAAAGATCTCACTTCGACATATGATTGTTCATTGGAAATAGTTGAATTATTGTTTGCCTTATGTCCACGATTACAACATCTTGAATTACATTATAATTTCACTGATTTTTTAACAAGTCTAATGAGATTAATTTTATCAAAAACTAGTAATAATAATCATCATTTATCTTCTTTGTGTTTTATAGAAGAGACTAATGAAACGGAAGAAAACTTGAAAATGGTGATTAAAAATGATAAATTACTTGATGATTATATGGTGAAATGTATTGATAAAAAAGTATATATCTGGTGGTAAAATTCAGCCGATTATTAAAACATTGTTAAATAACTTTTTCTGCAAAATGAATATAATTTTGTCTAGTTGTTGTTTTTATATAATAAACTTTCTGAAAACTATACGATTTCATTTTTCTTGTCTTTTATACATAAGGGGTAGGTGGGTGTGAGCGTAGGTAAGTGTTCTATTTTTTCTTTTCCACTCATACGCTCAATCTGCTCTCGCCAAATTCCATTTCTAGCCTTACCATCGAGCTGCAATTGTATTATCAACTGGGGCTCTCCACTGCCAGAATACTAGTTACGCCACTACTACTGTAGTACATGAATTCACAGAAACATGAATCCATTTCTTTATATTCGTCTGATAAGTGAGAACAATATTGTTTAGGAAATATGGTTTTTCAAAAATCAAATTTAAATAATAAACACTCGAGGCGAGACGAAAAAATACCATTTTTCCTGAACGTCTTCTATGAATGATTTCAAACTGAATGAATATCTCTTTTTTATATGATTGATATTAGTTAAAATGCTCAAAGATAAATTTAGTTCAATATTTCATCAGTGTGTTTTTTGTTCTTCATTAGTTATTTTTCATAACCACATCATAAAGAGGCGAAGAAAAAACTATTTCAAGGGTGTGGGTGGGTGTGGGTCAGTAGATAATGTAATCATCTCCCATCCACCCACACCCACTCTGTCGAGAGCACACACAAAATACAACAAAATGTACTTCTCGAAGAGTATTTTATTGATCGTCCCATTATTTAGCCTTTTTTTATGGTGAATAAATTTAATTTATTTTAACGAATAAATAATCATTTGGAAATTTTCGTTGGACAGCTGTAATATTAACTTCCATCGTTTGAATATTTATTTTTGAAATAAATATTTTCGACAAATCTTCACTTGATGATAAAACATAAAACAATTGATTTTCATAATCAACTGAAAATGGTTTATATCCTTGAGCAATTCTTTGACCATCCGGTGTGATTGTCATATTGCCAATTGGTTGACCAGTTTTTTCATTGATTTTAATTACAACTAATGGTGCGACGATATTATATTGATCTAATGCAACTAAACCTTTGTTTGATTGAACAAATCCAAATCCATAAACATTAAAATCAAATACTTTTGATTGAACAAATCTTTGAGTTGCTTTTGAAGATAAATCTAATGTTATTAAAACGGTTGCTTGTTGATTAGAATCATAAGCATGATATGTAAACAATTGTGTTTTAGAATTGAAATAACTTCCAGGCATCGGAAAACCATATTGACTCAAATCCATAAGTTGTTCTTTCACTTGTAATGTTTGAGTATCAATTTCAATTAAAAGATATTTTCGTTCAGTTGATTGATGTATAATCGAATATAATTTCTTTGTTTTTTCATTAAGTTGAATATGATCGATCATAAAAGATTGAATTTGTTCTGTTTGATAAACTTGTTTTGTTTTCGAATTGAATTTGAAAAATTTCGAAATTCCATAAAGACCTTGTTGCATTAAAAAATAAACATTTTCACAATTGAAATCACAAGTAAAAGTATCAATACGATTATTTAATGATTTTATATATTTTGATGGATAATTAGTTACTTGGAATCGAGTTAATATTCCACTACGATCTGCATTTGTTTCATTCCATGTTGTTACAGAATAATCATTGATTGTTATCCATGATGAATAAATACAATTTATTAATAAAAACAAAAGAAGTACTGAATTTATTGTCATTGTTTTCTAATATTTTCACTTCACTCAATTGACAATGTGATTTATATATGTTATTTATACTGAATACCATGGAAATTTTTGCATCTGCTAAAAAGAAAGATAAGTTTGCTCACGTTATTTTTATCTCTTTAGTTAAGTTAAAACAAAAGAGGAATAAGATCTGTGAAGTTATCATTAAAACTCAGGTCTACAGAAACGGATACCAATAAATAATACACGTACGGGTATATTACGGAAGATTTCGATAGTAACTTTATGGAACATATCGAGTAACTCTGTAAACAATATGCGCTTTGCCTATAAATGAACTTAAAATGTGTAACTATCCAGTTTTATTGACTATAGCGTCATTTGTGTAAGTAAAGAAGAAAAGAAAATATTCTTTCGTTTCCTACATCCTCTCTCATTGAGATCTTCTTCGCATATGACTAATTTTTGAAGGCGAAGAGCTAAATATAGTACTTCGATTAATCGTGTTCTTTTTCTTGATGTGTCATAACAAACGCTTGTTACAGATAATATTATCTTTTTCTCTCGTATTAACAGAATAGAAAAAGACATTCCTTTGGTATAAATGTACTGTATATCATTACAGAACACAAAGAAAACATTTACTTTTGCTTTTTATCACGAGATATATACACAAACGATGCCATTAAAAGAGAAATATTATGTCCATTCTGCTCATATTTATAATCGAACAACACAACCAATAGATTTAAAAATTTATTATTGTGGTGAAAATCAACATCATGAAAAAGAAATGATACGTATGAATAGATTAGAAGGTAATGGTGGACATTATTTTGCTGAGACGCGTGCATATGCTAATGCACACACGATTTCTGATCGAAACATTCATAAAATTCAAGCTGAAACCACCGATGGAAAGATTTTAGAAATCAAATGGCCATATGAAGGTTTAGTCGAACGTAATGAAAAAGAATGGCAATTTGACATCGAAGATGATGGAATCAAATCAATTAATCCACGCATATAAACACATTTTCTTTTTTCTTTTTTTATTTTTCGAATAAGCAGAAAAACAAGTTTATTTTATAAGATATTCTACAATTTCTGCACAATAACTATGTTATTTTAAAAACGAATCGTCTTCATCATATTCATAAGTTGTTGTTTAAACATAACACTCTTCTTGAGGAATTATCTTGATATCATTTGAAAACGAATATTTTTTCATTCACTTTCAAATAATCACAATCGTTGTAAACAATTTTTTGGTATGGAATAGTTGCAACAGATTCGAAAATATTTGAATTGCTGTTATTAATATGTGTACGAAATGGATATCATGTAGTAATGAATTCAATTCTTGTGAATTCAGTGCATATATACCATCCATCAGGTTTTTCGATTGATATACATTATCATGAGTAGTTTTCGTTTTGAATAATAGCACATTGCTATAATTTGGACTATCTGAAATAAATGAAAAATTATAATCTTGAACAGAACGACTAGACATATCGGTGAAAATAAAATAATGTAATACAGACATTTTAACATCATATTGTTATTCAAGTAATGATCAACATAGTGGACTATAGTTTAATTGTTTCTGACTTTTTCTTAGAATCAAAATCTATACATTATTGCAGTATTCGTTCAATTAACGGAGGTCTCTATTCTCCTGTGTCTGATTCATCTTTACGCTCGTAATTGTATCTATCGTATATCTCCATATTTAAATTCCTAGTGTATCCTTTTCGATAATTTGCTTCATTATTAAAAGTTTTATTTTATACATATGGAAGAACGAACGATGACTTATAATGACGAAGGTGTTTTTTTCTCTTTATTCACGTGCAATATATTACCGTATGATAGAACGATCGATTTTATACTTACATAATAAGCAATACGAATGTTGTTTACTATTCGTAATATATGAATTAATTATTATTTTTTTTATACAACGCAATTTTTCTTAGCGTTTGATTTTATTCATTAAAAAAAAATAAATATCATAGAATAATTCTTAACGACAACTTCTCAATTAATATCAATTTATAAAATCTTACTTTCTCTTCCTCAAAACATTTTTTTGAATTGGTGATGATCATCAATACCCTCAGTGGCTTCATTTGTACCATATTTTCGTTTTTCTTCTTTTTGATATGTCATCGTTGGTTCCATCTATTAATAACAAATAGTAATGAGAAACAAAACGTAAGATATATTCCACAATCACCATTTATTCATACTTGGCTTACTGATATCAATGTCAAACGGTGGAAACGAACAAACATATGGATGAGTCTTTTACATGCATTTGTCACTGGTACTCTATGTGTCTACAGTCTTTGGGTGTATTCACCAGATATTCACTATGATTATGTAAAGCATATCACATGGATCACTTATTTGAATTGTTCTTTTTCTTCAGGTTGATAATCGAAATTTATTGCATCAACAGTTTGATTAGTTTTCATCTATTTTATAGGCTACTTTTGGTATGACTTATTTGATCCTATCTCGAACCAACAAGGACCTGAATTGTGGGAAATGATTCTTCATCATGTTATCGTAAGTCTTCAACTATTGTTTTTTGGTATATCAAAGTAAAAATTGCATATATCTTTCAAGGTGATCTTTTCTTTTGGTCCAAATATTATTCGTTTAAGGAATATTGGCTAGCAAACTTTAGCACTGCTTGCTGAATTCAATTCAATATTTTTACACATTCGAAAACTATTTAAATTGTACAATATTTCATCTACACATCTAATTGTTCGATTGAATATAATTGTCAATTTGGTTACTTGTCTTATATGTCGTTTGGGAATGTTAGCTCATCTTACTATTTGTATATACCATGACAGAGAACGAGTTAGTGTTTATTATTATAAATTTATCATGTATACTTGTCTACCTGTACTTTGGATAATCAATTCTACTCTTTTCTATCGTTTATTGAACGCAGATTTTTTCAAAAAATCAAAATCACATAAATTAACTTCTTAATTGTTATATATTGTTTTTTGTATGTTTTCAAGTTTCACATAGATCGAATAAAGAAATCTCTCATATAAACTCATCAGTTGGGTGTGAGTCGAGTGAGTATGGAGGGTGTGAGTGTCAATCAGAGATCAACATAACACCCACACTCAAGATTTTGATCTACATAGAAGCTTTTGTTCTTTACTATCTTTTTTTATAAATCTAAATTATTTTCTTAAATAAAAATAATAAAAGATATAACTATAAACTTGTATTATATGCGATCGTATCGTAGAAAATACAAAACGGTGAAGAGAGAAGTAGTTGAATTAACATCGATAGTGTTACAAAACACATATTTTCCGCTTTTTCTTCATAGTTTTATATCAATCAATAATGAAATAAGTTGAATATTATTATATTAAAATATCCTCGTAAAAAAATTCATATTTTATATTTGAAGAACTTTGTCAATATTTATAATTTGAACATATAATTAAAAAATTCGAGTATGAATGATATTAAAAACTAATAAATATTTGTTTATTTCAATTTGAGAATTAAAGATAGTTTTTATGGAAATAAAAAAGGAATTCTAATGATGAATAGTTTAATGTCCCGCACATCGCGCTCATTGAGAAATGTTTATAATTATTAACAACTATAATAACAAAATGATAAAATATATTACAGCTATAAAATATAATTTGTATATATGAAACGTAATCTTAGAACGATAAAGTTTTTTGTAAAAACTGACTTTATTCCAAACAAATCAAACTCAATTAGATTCTCTAACCGCCTACCACATATCCATTCAATCTGTCTCACCCATTTATGCACTAAGAGATCTTATTGAAATTTTATTCCATGTAGTTTCATCTTTGAATGATGATATTAATCTCTCAATGGCTGACTGATACAACTACTTCTTTTAAAGAGAAATGATAATGAGTGACAGAAATCTGTCGTAAAAGAAAGAAATGTACCCGATTTCTAAATCCTCCTTGAATATTAACGGTGGAGCAATAAACGACGTCACGCGTTAATAACACAAGGAATATTCATAACTGATCAAAGATATTACAGATAAGATGAATAAAAAGTGTACCATCACCCTCTGTAACCTTCGTGTTATGGAGGAACTGTATCGTTTTTTGGGTTAAATAATGTCATCAATTTAATTTCAAAATAAAAAATATTCATAGATTTTAACTAATCAAGTTGTCTCTACGTTACTGCAACGATGATAACCATCGCTTCATATTCTCAAAAATGATCACATCTCACTGCGTCTGTCACCATCGACACATAATGAGAGGTGTAAATGACTGGAAAAAAAAACTTATTTTTATATACTTTTTTTATTCTCATCAATTACGACGGAAAATGAATGAATATGAAGTGTACATTTACATTGACTCTTGAATTCACAAATGCAACTAATTATTTAAATTTTCGATAGTAATTGAAAATACTTTTCATTCATGACCGTGACTATTACATGAAAAAAAGTCTGTTGATAGTATACAAACACCTTGATATATGATATGATCGAATTCACCGTATCGACACATCTTGTCTTTTTACATTCGAATGACAAAAACCAGTAAATATTATGTTTGATCATTTTATCATCAATCCTTGATACAATATCGAATATCAATAGATTTTCTTGCATTGAAATAAATTTGTTTTATTCCGTTCAATACATCACTCAAGAATATGATATACTTTAGTATTGATAATATATAAAAACTAGATTTAATTAACATAAGACAAGACAAAATTATGAGTGGAACATCTTCTATTCCATATGGTTATCAAAATAGTAATCCATTACTTTATACATTTCGAGATTATCATACAGGTATTCAACCATATTTTATTATTGCCTCACAGTTTCTCATATTCGAATTCTCTCTACGATTTTGGGATAAAGCCGTTTATGGAACATGGTTATTACCAGAGGAAGTTATTATCGTTGAGAGAGTCAAAAATCCTCCGAGTGGCCGGCGCCGTCCAACCACTCATTTACCTCCAACGATTACTACGCAGATAACACAAAACTCTTTTACTGCTTCGACTGTCTTCATTTTTCAAGAATTTAAAAAACTCTCATTGAAAACGAAAAATACAGAAAAACTGCCAACATTTGACTTATATGATGTTGTTTACTCTGCGTTAGCCTTACTTGCTCATGCAATTTGGTATTGTTATATTCAATCTAACTGTATGTCAGGTCAATATGCCACAATATGGAATTGTTATAATCTCTTTGGTTATCGAGTATATAATTATCTATTTGGTCCATTCACTAGTTTAGCTTTTAACTTTATTTCAAAATTGATCATATTACGTGAGCATGGAATAATTAAACTTCTACATAGAAAGCAAAAATGGCGAAAGACATTGGCAATGATAATATTTTATCCATCTTTAGTTTTATCAGCAATTACATTTGTTTTTGTTGGAGCTTTAATTCTTCCCTATTTATTTACAAATGCTATACCAATGATGATTATTTATGCATTTATCGCTATGACCTACGCATATATTGTTATACTTATAGTACTCGCACTACGAGTATATACAGTCTTTACTGGACATGTATTTTCTTTTGAAGGTGATAACCTTGGATTTTTTAAACGACAAATGAAAAAATATCATTATCAACGACAGCTAGTTATTCAAGCTGGTCTTCGATTACTTCCATACTTGATGACAATTTTATTTAATTTATCGCAATACTTTTATTATGGGGATAGTTTTTTGGACGCACTTGTTCGTGAAGC